ATATAATTATTTTATATTTTAAATATATTGAATATGGGCATTGTAGTATTTCAAATATATGTCAATATATTTGGGAAGAATATTTTTAAAATATATTTAAAATATATTTTTTCTCCCATGAAAATCCGAGCAGGAGGAGCCTCACTCTTGCCCGCATCCTCCACCATTTGTGGTATTTTCCAATGACTCGGTCCACTCAGAATGAGTTTTAGGGCTTTTTGCTCACCTTTATTTATCTGTACATCAAAGTAGCACAGCGTTCTGCTCATGCCGCAGTTATTTAGCACAACAATGACCACAAACCACTTTTGGCCTTCTCGCTATATCTCACACAGCTCTGGCTATGTCCTGCTTAGGACAAAGCTGCCTCATTCTCAGCCTCTCTGTTTAACCAATTCCATCAGTCACCAGACTGAGCCTGTTATGTGACCACATATAGACTGCAACTTACTTTCCCATTGTGAAAAGTTCAGCAGCCTATGGTCAGTTTTTGTGGAGTTATGCTTGCCCCACCCTGACTAACCACTTCCCAACCGCCCTATAGCAGACATACTGCTACAGAGCGGCACGGGTGTGCAAAATTACGTATATATACCTGATTTTGCATTTCCAGGTAGGGGATGCACGCACCCTACCCGCACCACTATTCGCTGTCGCAGCTGTCAATCATTGGGTCCCGACCGGTGATTACTCGCCGGCACCCGGTGATTACCGAGGATCTCCGAAGGGGGAGGAGAACTGTTTTGCTTACTAACAGTTCTCCTTGTCAGCTCGGGCACACTGCTTTGGATGGATGTGCATAGCACAGCCACCGAGAGCATTGTGCTTACAGTGAAGCACACAGACACCGCCCCCTAGTAAAACACTCCCAGCACACAGTTAACCCTTTGATCTCCCCTCGTGTTAACCCCTTCCTTGCCAGTGCCATTAGTACAGTGTCAGTGCTTTTTTTTTAGCACTGATCACTGTATTGGTGTCACTGGGGATGTCAGTGACACCAAGTCAATTCCCCCCAGTGTCAGAATGTCCGCCGCTATAAGTCGCTGATCGCTGCCATTACTAGTAAAAATTAAAAAAAAAATCCAGTATCTATATCCTGATGAAGTCACGTGGTATAGTGACGCAATGCGTAGATACGCCGTGACGCAGCTTCCCGTCCACGGTGACCTACTTCCGGTACAGGCGCCATCTTGGCACACCCAGAAAGAGTCCTAACCCATGCAGTACACCCATGCATGAGGTTTATGCGGTTTTATGCTGTATATTCGACATTGAACAAAGTGAGTGGGCATATTTTGTAAGAGTCCTTTTATTTACTACATACTGCACTATGAGGATCTTTTCTCTCACTTACCATTAATAATGGTGAGTGATATGCAGAGTTGGTGATACAATCCTGGGAGGTCTGGAGATCAGATCATTTACCTGAGAGGTGAACCACAGGAAGAGGATACCAGATACTGCTGGAGAAGGATCTAGGATTGATCCTGAAGGCTTGGTGGCCCATTAGGGTCACAGAGTGGAGGTGAGGGGGCATTTTAGCCACGGAGGATAAGTGTGCTGACACCGACACAGCAATTATCACTTTGATCACCTTGCATGAAATTTTTGTGGTTTGAGCAGTTTATTTTTTATGGTATATAGCGCTTCACTATAGTATTCTTGTATCCAGTATCTATACCGCCATTTGTAGACGCTATAACTTTCACGTAAACCAATTAATTACACGTATTGGGATTTTTTTTTAGCAAAGACATGGAGCAGAATACATTTTGGCCTAAATTTATGAGGAAATTAGTTTTTTTGTTTTTTTTTTACTGGACATTTTTAATAGTAAAAAGTCAAAACTATTGTTTTTTTTCTCAAAATTGACGGTCTTTTTTTTATAGCGCAAAAAATTAAAAAACCGCATAGGCGATCAAAATACCACCAAAAGAAAGCTCAATGCGTGGGGAAAAAAGGACGTAAATTTTATTTGGGTGCAGAGCTGCATGACCGTGCAAGTCTCAGTTAAAATAACACAGCGCCGTGACGCAAAAAATGACCACTTCTGGACCACCCGGCTGCATTGTACTGCACACGGGCAACGTCTACAGGCACAGCAACGTACCTGTACGTCACTCCCTGCTTCCAGGTTCAGGAAGCACGCACCCTCACCGACTGATCCGGCTGTGATTAGACACAGAGAGTTTGTCACCAGGTCCCGGCCAATGATTTATGGCCAGGGCCTGCTGATCGGCTGTGTCCAATCACAGCCCAGAGCCCTGTGTTGATAAACAACACAGGGCTCTGTACATCTTCTCCCTGCACATCAGGGATTATCCCGAGATGCTAGCCCATTCCCAGCACAGTGTCATTAGCACAGTGACAGTGTCTAGAATTATCACTGATGGCTGTATTAGTGTCAGTGGTGATGTCAGTTCCTACCCAGTGGAAGCTAGTGTCAGATTGCCATCCGCACTATCGCCATTCCACTATAAGTTGCTGATCACTGCCATTAGTAGTAAAAAAAATAATAAAAATTCCAGTATATATCCCATAGTTTGTAGATGCTCTGATTTTCACACAAACCAATTAATAGGCCCTTAACCTCTTCACGCCGGCCGAACACAAATGTGCGGCCTCCCGGGATCTGGCCCTAGACACCGAGCGGCTGCACATTTGCGTTCTATTAAAAAAGAACATATGTGCGCTCCCAGCACACATGTCCAGTACTCACGGAAAGGTCCCGATCTCCTCTTTCGATCGGAACTTTTCCCGCTCATGTGACCGCTGTGACAACCCTAAACCCCGCCTCCCGGCTTCTGAAACCCTTAAAGGGCCGGGAGGCACCGGCGCCAAGGGGTTAAAGGGATTTGTGATTCATCAGACCAGACCACCTTCTTCCATTGCTCCTGGTTGAAATTCTGATGCTCACGTGCCCATTGTAGGCACTTTTGGCAATGGACACAGGTCAGCATGGGAAGCCCCAAGCCCCATGCACAACATATTGTGATGTCCATTTTTTTCTTCTTTCAACACATAAGCTTCAGGGACAACATGTTCACTTTACTGCCCAGTATATCCCACCCATTGTAATGGGTTAATCAGTGGTATCACTTTACTATTCAGTGGTCATAAACATATGGCTGATTGGTGTAGTGTAGTATAGTACACCTCGGGTATAGCTCCCAGCATTCCCCTGGTGGCATCCTATTCTTCTTTAGTTTGGACCTGCTACTAACATATAGTGAAAGATCAATATCTTCATGCTCCATCTCTCTTTTCTCTTGGCAGAGCACCAGAAGTTGCGAAATTTGGAGTTTCCCCAGCTGGTGGACTTTGCGGTACAGGTAAACACGCTATCAGTACAGGGATGGTGGAAACCAGGGGCGGACTGACCATTTGGAAACTCGGGCACTGCCCGAGGGCCCAGGGGCAGTAGGGGGCCCTATGAGATGCCCCTGGTACCTTTTTCATAGGCTTTTTTGAGTTTGGGCAAGGACACAGGGGCCCCATGATTCCCTATTGCCCGGGGGCCCCATGAGTTGTCAGTCCGCCCCTGGTGGGAACCCCTCATAATGGGCACAGCAGGTGTACAAACCCGGGAACTCAGCGCAGGGATGGTGGGAACCCCTCATAATGGGCAGAGTAGGTGTATAGCCCCGGGATCTCAGCACAGGGATGGTGGGAACCCCTCGTAATGGGCACCGCGGGTGTACAAACCTGGGAACTCAGCACAGGGATGGTGGGAACCCCTCCTAAAGGGTACAACAGGTGTACAGACCCAGGAACTCAGCACAGGGATGGTGAGAACCCCTCATAATGGGCACAGTGGGTGTAGACACCTGGGAACTCAGCACAGTGATGGTGGGAACACCTCATAATGTGCACAGTGGGTGTACAGACCCGGGAACTCAGCACGGGGATGGTGAGAACCCCTCATAATGGGCACAGTGGGTGTAGACACCTGGGAACTCAGCACAGTGATGGTGGGAACACCTCATAATGGGCACAGTGGGTATACACACCTGGGAACTCAGCACAGTGATGGTGGGAACCCCTCATAATGGGCACAGTGGGTGTACACACCTGGGAACTCAGCACAGTGATGGTGGGAACACCTCATAATGAGCACAGTGGGTGTACACACCCGGGAACTCAGCACGGGGATGGTGAGAACCCCTCATAATGGGCACAGTGGGTGTAGACACATGGGAACTCAGCACAGTGATGGTGGGAACACCTCATAATGGGCACAGTGGGTGTACACACCTGGGAACTCAGCACAGTGATGGTGGGAACACCTCATAATGGGCACAGTGGGTGTACACACCTGGGAACTCAGCACAAGGATGGTGGGAACCCCTCATAATGTGCATAGCAGGCGTGCAGACCCTGGAGCTCAGTGCAGAGATGGTGGGGACCCTTCATAATGGACATAGAGGATGTACAGACCTTGGGATACAGTGCAGGGATGATGGGAAGCTTCTTCAATGCTGTAAATGTAGCGTAGAGTGCACAGATCTCGACTCACCAAGAGTCCCTGAGGATATCAGGGGGTTCAACTCTACAGCATACATGGAACACTGAGAACATCCCTTTTGAGTGAATTGATTCTCTAAGATGAACTCTTATCAGCCCAATCCCACTGATCTCTGAGGATAGGCAACAGAGCTCGGCATGCAGAAATGAGTTATTAGAGCTTCCAAGAGTCCCCTTTAGCAGTTTCCATCAATGGTGAATCCATGAATAGTCCACTCTATGCGGGACCTGATTCATCAGGATGAATCTGGATAGACCGATTGATTATTCGGTGTGTGGGGTACTTTAGGATGAATAGCATTTACTATACAAAGTACAGCCAATCACATTTCACCTTTTTTTATCACCTTATCTTGTAACCTATCTTGAGTTTGCTAGGTCTTGTCACATAACCACTGAACCTTACATGGCCTTAGTGAATATCAGGAAGATGTGACCATAATTTGCTGAACTCCTCTTCCCAGATCTCACAGGGAATGGCCTACATGGAACAAATTGGATGTGTGCATCGGGATCTGCGCTCAGAGAACATCCTTCTGTCCGCCATGATGTCCTGTAAGATTGGAGACTTTGGACTGGCCCGTTTCATGGAGAGTTCTTCCATCGCCATCTCTGCAGGTAACTGAAGTGACACCCAGCCTAGAACTGTTTGCTTTTTCTCCGGCCTAGAATTTTTTTTTCTAGAAAAAAAAATGTACCAATAGATCAGAAAATGACTGTTGATTATCAAAAGGGGCTTTTGGTGTCAACTTGGAAGGAGGTGCAATGTGGTGGTGGGACAGTAAACACAGCCTGAGGTTTCAGGAAACAGAACTTTAATTAAAGGAAAGCCCAGAGTAAGAAGAAAAGAAGACCTGAACGAAGGGCCGGCATGACAGGGGTTAAAGGGGGTTGATATGGGCATATGGGCAAAGTTTTTCAGTCTGAAGAGAGTTTTTACAAGGCAAACACAGGGCAAACTTCCCTCCCACCCGCCCGTTGTTTTATGGTTTGTCTAGCTGGTGGTTGTGCCATATTGGTGCTGGGGGACATCCGGCGGGGTGCAAGGTCCTTGTTGGTTAATGTGGGCACAAGAAAAGGCATTTTGTAGGAACCCGTCTGAGGTACGGCTTCCAGTTGTTCTGGTGGGGGTATCTGTGGTGATGTCTCCGAGTCGGTGATGTTGTGGCTGAAGGCCTAGTTAAGTAGGATGCAGATATTCATTTTTCTTGATGCCTAGTGGGACCTTGAAAGAGTGTATGTTTATACTGTGTTTTCTGTTATTTAAAAATGCGATTTATTGATGGTTGTAATAACAGGCTGGTTTTGGGCCATTAACTCCATTTGTTGTCAGTGTGGTTACTTGGGTTAAGTATGGGGGGTAGGTATTGGTTTAGTGGGACTACAAGCCATCTTTAGTCCCCTGGTAATGTAGAATTCAGTACTTCACAACAAACCTGGCATGAAGGTACCAGACCAGGAAGCCTCACGGATTGTAAGTGTGTATGCAATGTGTAATAGAGTAGGTCTTTTATGTGCCAACAGCATCCTGAGGGACGGAACGTGGCCTGGCTGGCCCCAACCCAAGTGGGGAGGTCTCTAGAAGGATGGCATGTCCCTATCCTTTCCCTAGTCATATGGAACCTCTCCCTGCTCCTAATTAATGATGGGCTGCATGTTCGAACCCTGACAGTGCATTGTGATTGGCCAAAGCACAGGGCATGATGATGACTCAAGGGGCGGGGTGATCCTGCCCCTTGTGACATCATCACCCTAAGGACTGGTCCCACACTCCCTGTTAAGGATTGCCACCATTGGGGAGCGGAGGGAGGAGCGGGTACTCAAAATTGACAGGTACCCACTCCCAATTTCAGCTGTGATCGCCTAGGCGATTGGAAGCGGAAGTTGTCCTTCCCCCTCCCGACCTATAGTCTTCTGGGACACATGACAGGTCCCAGAAGACTACGGGAGCATTCAAAAAGTGCAGCACTACTCGCACATTCTCAGTGAGCACCCGGCTGTAGAGCCACAAGCTGTCACAGCCAGGTGCTCACCCTGAAAGTTCTGGGAACACAGGGCGGCCGGTAAAACGGGCTGTGGGGAGGGGGCACTGCAGGATCAAGGGACAGGTAAGTGTCCTTTTTTTTAAAGTCAGCAGCTACAGTTTTTGTAGCTGCTGACTTTTATTTTTTTTTTTTTTCACTGGAATTCCACTTTAAGAACTGTCACTGTGGAGCAGCTGTCAGACGGCGGGAGCCAGCGTCGAGGGAGGAGAAAGGATTTCTTTTTTTGGGTCAGCGGTGGGGGTAGGGCATCATGATTGATGTTGGATCTACTTCAGGGGACATTTTTTTAACTTTTTATAATACACATTTTTTTTTTGTGAATGAGGTTCCATGTACCCCATACTCAATCACATGGGGGGGTGGGATTTGGGAGCCCCCTTGCTAAAGGAGCCTTCCATATTTCCTGCCCCTTGCCCGCAGACCCCCACAACCACCGGCCAGGATTATGGGGAAAAAAGACCCTTGTCCCCCATCAACATGGGGCTAAGGTGTTCCCCTTGCCCCGAAGAACCCCCCCATATGTTGAGGGCATGTGGCCTGGCATGGTTTAGGAGGGGGAGGACTCCTCGCTCATTGTCCCCCCCCCTTTCCTGCTGGGCTGCATGCTTACATAAGGGTGTGGTATGGATTTTGGGGGGGCACCTACGCCTTTTTTTTAAATTTTGGCATGGGGGTTCCCCTCAAAATCCATACCAGACTAGAAGGGCTTCGTATAGATGGGAGGGGGGCACCCCATGCTGTTGTTTTTTGTTTTTTTTTTAATTGTTGGGCAAGGCCGAACAATTCTTTTGATATTTAGCTTTCAGCAGGGAACCCCACTGACAGCTGAACCATGAATGAATGTTTCACTACTAAAATACCGCATACTCAGATTTAGTAAGTTGCCACTCAGTGAATTGTCCCTGTTCAAAGTTTTCAAAATTTAGGTAGGTGCGAATGTTCGACCGCAAATTGAACAGTGGGGGTGTTCAGCCATCACTACTCATAATCACTGTCCAGGTCAGATGGGTAACCTGTCCCTACACTACCTACAAGCCAAATGTGCACCAAGCCTCGGAGCCAGGCTCCAAGATGGCTGCTGAAGTAACATGGGGTGGAAGCATCCCCTGTGATCCAGAAAACCATAGAGGAATAGGCTTTCTCTTGACTTCCTTTCCCCTTGTAATGCCACTGTTGTCGAGCCCCACCTGCAGTGGACAAAGTTGACTGCACATGTCTACAACTTAGTGCAAAAAGCTTGACTGAAATCTACCCTTGTCCCCAGGTGCATCCCACTGGTTCAAGGACTGCTTCAGAATTGACAATTTCTGTCTTCCCAAGGAACCAACTGGCACTAATGGGGGAGCACCGTACCACCAGATGGGCTCCCCTCTTTGTAACCATATCACCTTTCCACTGCATCCCAAAGACCTGCTAACCCTCCAAGCTGCCATGACATTCATGTAAAAATCCATATCTGTTATCAACAGTAAACAAGGGACCTTGTGAAATTAATTCCCAGTTGCCCCACAGTTAACTCTAACCCACTACCTGACCCTCGACCACCCATCAAGTAAGGCATATTGCTTCTATATCAGCAGTTAATGTCTGTCTGGGGGCTACTTCCCACCCCAGTCATGTAGACCCTTCATTAATTTTTTCCACCGATATATTTCTAATATTGTTATCTACTCTCCATTACTTCTATACTTTGTTTTGCATATTGCAGCCCATTGATAAAATGTGGGAAACAGTATTGAATCTGCAGTATCATATAGAGTTTTCTTTGGTTAACTTTTTTCCTCACAAATACGACCAATTTTTTTAAAGTGTTACGCAGGCTTTGGAGTTCAGAAGCTGGCAGGTCGCAAAGCATGTTTTTGAAGCACATTGCTGAGAGATATATATTTTTTAAAACTTTAATGTATAGACAAGTGTTTATTACAGCACTGTGACAAGGGGAAATTTTCTGTTTTGATTTCTCCAGCTAAGTTTGATAACTGTCTTCTCGTTAACAGGTGCTCAGATTCCCATCAAATGGACGGCCCCGGAGGTCTTCCAGCACCAGAAATACAGTTGCAAATCTGACATCTGGTCCTTCGGGGTTCTGCTGGGAGAAATAATGTCCTATGGCAAATTACCTTTTCCAGGTAAGCATCCCTACTTTGTGTGACATGGCTGGTGGCAGTGGCTGGTGGCAGTGGCACTGCATTGGGGATTTGCCAAGCATAGACATTAATCCAATAGGCAGCAGAAGTCTCTCACTGAGGAACAGACTCTTGCAGTGCCTGGTCTTCTCTACAGCTTCTGGTGGTGCAGATGTTATCCTGCAGACAGATAATAGCATGTGACATTCAGGACTTCTTTGGTGTTGACAGCTCAGAGAGGACCAGGTCAGATTATCAATGAGGTCAGAGTAGGCTGGAGTTAAGGGTGGGCTGTTGGTCAGGGTAGATAGAAGGTAAGGGTCTACTAGAGGTCAAGAAGGGCTGGTGATCAGAATAGGTTGAAGGTCAAAGCAGGCTGGAGGTAGGGGCAGGTTTAAGGTAAAAGTGGGTTGCAGGTCAGGGTATGTTGAAGGTAGGATGGGTTGTAGGTCAGAGTGGGTTGAAGGTAAGGGTGGGTTGTAGATCATAGAGAGCTGAATGTAAGGGCAGACAGTAAGAAAAAACGTATTCAAGGAATAAGCAGAAGGTCAGGACAGGTGGCATGTAGGAAGCAGAAACAAAAAGAGTCAAGAGGTAAAATACCTTTAAAAGACAGAATCTTTGCAACACAGACCTTTCATAGGTATATGAATTGTCTTCTGACATTTCTCAATTTACTCCAGAAAGAATTTTGACAATTGTGCAGTAAATTGATACTGATGTAAATGAAGTATGCTATAAGAGTGGCTGAAATGGGCCAGTGCCGTTAAAGTGGGACTCATGATGCCTGACACCCTCTGTGTCTCTAATATTTAAGTATTTTTATGACACTTTCCAGGAGCCCCAGATGTCCCCAAAGTGTTAGCTTTTAGATGTTCTTTCAGTGCTGGTTTTCAGATGTCACTTCATGGTTGCCTCTCAAATGTCCTCTCAGTGCTGTCTCGCAGATGTCCTCTCAGTGCTCACCCTCAGTTGTCCCCTCATTGCTGGATCTTAGATGTCCCCACACTGCTATCTCTCTAACGTTCCTTTGATGCTACCGTTCAGATGTCCACACATTACTCACTCAGATGTCCCCTCAATGCTGCTCTCTGATGCCTCCTTAGTGCTGCCTCTCAGATTTCTTCACAGTGCTGCCTCTCAGAGGACTGCCATATGTCTCCTTAATGCTAGCATTCATATGTCATCCCACTGCTGCCTCCCAGATGCCTCTCAGGTGTCTCCTTAACACTGCCTCTCAGATGTCTCTTTAGCACTGGTTCTCTGATGTCCCCTCTGTGTTGACTCTCAGGTGTGCCCTCGATGTTGCCGCTCAGATGTCTCCACAGTGCTGGTTCTCTGATGTCCCCTCAGGGCTACATTTCAGATCTCCCCTCCATGCTGCCTATTAGATGACCTCTGCCTATAAGAGTTTGCCTCAGTGCTAGATTTCATATGTCCCCTCCGTGCTGCCTT